ACTTCTCATTCCATTCAAATGTGTTCAAATCATTATACATGACCTCTATTTATAGGCACAACTTTACACCTTCGATAGAATCTACAGATTACATAATAATATGAGATAATTGTGGGATATAGAGATAATGGGAGATATTAGAGATTATAAGAGATACAAGAGATAATAGGAGATATATGGACATCTACAAAGATATTATTATATTCATAATAATATTATTTTTTTTGGCCAAAAACGCTATTTATATTAATTGCACTCTATGACTCTGCAAGCCCTAATGATTATACATGAACCTTATTTAATGCCATCACACATTTCTCTATGAACCTCATACTTCTAATTATGTCAAAGACGTGAACCAACAAAACTACCCATTCATTTTACACATCATAAATAACACTAAAGAGAGTTACAAACCGTTTGTTTAAATTTATTTATCTTTAATATGGATCTTGTGATGCAAATGCCCTCTGAGTCTCTTCCATCCACGACATAAATCACTTTAACTATATTTATTATTAATGTCAAAAAATGGTAATTAACTCGTTTAATCTATCTCAAATTTAAAGTTTTTTTTAAACTTTATTTATATTAAATGAGGTCGTTAATGAGAGAAAAAAATACAAAGAGCTAAGTTATATTTAAACATTAATTTCATAGTCAAAATTGATTAAATAATCATTAATATTCTCTAAGTAATTTACATTTTTGAGTTCGGACCATGCTAGCCATTACCACTTTATTTTTATTTATAAGTCATTTGTACCTCAAGTCGACAAACCAATAAATATATATTAAATTAATAATTTTTCACCATTTTTCCCTTATTAAAACAATGGTAGTAAAAAAATGTTGGGAAAATTATGCACAAGTCCCAAGGACAAGACTTTATTCATTTAAGATCTCACGAAATATTAAAATTACTAATAGGTCCCAAAGGACCTTAGAGTATTATATTCTAATTGTAAAATGATATCATTACCCATCAGACTCCCAATTCACATTTTCTCTACTATTGCGATTAACAATCTCAGCAGTGATTATTAACAACCCAATGAGAAGGTATTAATAACCTAAGCAGTATCCACTGCTTTATATGATCACATAACCTCCACATAAAAGTAAATTATAACTAAATAGTATAATACAATAAATTGATCTGCTTAGATTGTCAACAGTTCTCCTTGGGTTATTAATACTCACCGTTGAGGTTGTCAATAGATCTCCGCATTAAAATTTTGCTATAATCCTATTGAATTTAGTTAAAGTTCTTAATGGTTTTGAAAAGCTTCATATTTCAGTGTTAAAGTTGTTGTATTATACTATTTGGTTGTAATTTATTCTTATGTAGAGGTTATGTGATCTTATAAAGTAAGTTGTTAACGGATATTGCTTAGATTGTCAACACCTTCTCATTGGGTTGTTAATAGTCGTTGCTAAAGTTGTCAGTCGCAATGGCAAAGAAAATATGAATTAGAAATCTGAGGGGCAATGATATCATTTTATAATTAGAATATAATACTCTAAGGTCCTTAGATGAACTTAGAATATAATTGGGAATCTGCTAGTAATTTTGACATTTCATGAGACCTTAGATGAATAAAGTCTTTTCCTTGGACTTGTGTGTAATTTTTCCAAAAATGTTTTATATCTTCTCTCACCTATTTAAGTCAACAAGAGTAAAATTTAAAAAAGTTCGTTAATTACTCTACAAGTGACTTATATTTAGAAAGCTTTCTCTCTATAAATGACTTATAAATAAAATAGAGTGATATTCTAGAAGCACCTTATATTGTGAGTGTTCACATCGAGGGAGTTATTAATGCCTTTAATTAATTAGGTCTAATAATACTTATATACATTGAATGTCAATAATTGTATCATTTAAAAAAAAATCACTTGGTATAAATAAAATAATATAGCACCACATCTTATAGTATAAATACCCAAACCATATGTTCCTTTAATGCATCAACAACACCTTAAGGGAACTTGTAATAGAGATTTTGTTTCGAGCAGAGAGTCATCATAATGTCTGTTAATAACAGAGTTTATGTGATTGCCATATATTTTGGGATGTTAATGCTTCTTCTCACTGGTTTGTGCACTAACATTCTTCTGGCCTTCATCTATTTTAATTTTATTATATTTTGTTATGTATTTTTCACATTGTTGACTGTGTTGGTTCATTTGTTTTGATCAGAAATGGCGGTCGCTGCTTTGGTCTTGCAAGGTAAGTGTAAGGGTAAAGGGCATGTCATATGCATTTATACGAATATATGACTTGACAAAACAAAATTAAAAAAAAAATAAAATCTCTGTAAAATCTTGTAATATAAATAACTTGGCGTTTTTGCAAATTGATAACTTCATATTCTACTGGGAAAAATTGTAATAAAATCCAAGGAAACAACATAATTACTATAAAGTTTTAATGACAACTAAGCAACCTGTAATGACAAGGGAAATGAAAATTCCTCACTTACCATTGAGACTTTTTGATAGTTATTTCTTTTACATGGGATTTTTTTTGTAATTCTCTCATTCTACTATTTGGTATCGTGGGAGAAATATAATCCAAAAAAAATAAAATAAAATAAAAGGAGCAATATTGTTTTATTTCACACCCTTGCACTACATGTTTATTTCTTTTAATAATATCTCTCATAAAAAAGGACTTTTTCATTCACAAAACTATTATTTTTATTTATTTTTCATTATTTTTTAAAGGTGGAGAGAATTTCCAAGAGATGCTGAAAGTGAAAAGTGACCTAGCATGCAGTCCTGATTTTGTGAATAAAAATACACGAGGTCCAGTAGGAACACTACCAAGCGGAACACCAATGTTCTCCGTTGCAATAACAAATACTTGCCCCTCAAATTGCAGAATAAGCAATCTCCACCTTAGGTGTGAGTCATTTACGTCGGAGATTCCTATTCCTCCGAACACATTCAGGAGCGTGGGCCCCAATGATTGCCTTGTCAACGATGGCCTTCCGATTGGGATTGGAAATGTTGTCACCTTTGAATATGCTCATCCTTATAAGTTCGATCTTCCTGTTTCATCTCTGCAATGTTTATCCTAAATATTCCACAATCTATTTTGGGGGATATGTTTTAGATGATAATAACTTTGTTGAGAATTTTAAATGAAATTTAATAAGTGATCAAATGTTATTATATATTTATGGCTTTGGATTAAATATTTTTGGTCCAATATTAAATTCATCATCTTCTCACCACCTAGCTATTATTACTGTTAGTGCCTTTTTTTTTTTCGCCCTGTATGTAGTGACTACTGTGTATGAGTGATCACAATAAATTGGCTAAAGTAAAATCACGATCCAATTAAACTGCAACACACATAAGAATTAAAAAAAGAACTAACAAAATAATTTAATTATGCACACTTTTTCTTTTTCTCTTTTGGTTACTTGGAAAATTGGATCTTGGGGACACCTTGTTTTCCTCTCTCTCTCTCTCTCTCTCTAAGGATAGAGATATGAATATGACAAATTGATGCTGTAACATTTTTTAGAAATAAAACAAATTATTAATGAGTCAACGTTTAATTATGAAGAAAGGTTCAGAAAGTTGTTGCAACTGAATACATTTTTTAGATAAAAGCAAAATGATATATTTATAATTCCAAGTTTACAATCTATAAGCAACTACTGGAAAAGACAAACAAGAGCCTAAATAAACAAAAGTTTTAGAGGGTGTTTGGATAGAAACAAAATCATGATTTAAAAATGCTTTTACAGTATACGAAGTAAATATATAGAAGAATTTGTCTCGATTTACAGAAAAGTACTTTAAGCACTTTTACACTTACCCCAACACCCTCTTAATCTCAGTCTTTGAAAAGCAAACGGAATTTTCAAAAAAAAAAAAAAAGAAAAGAAAGGAAAACATTAATATCATACGTCTATGCTTGACTCTCGACCACTTTCACATTTTCAGTAATGCATAATTAATGAAAGTTAATTAATTAGAGTCTATACTCTTACTTGTGGTTCATTGCTTGTACATATCCATCAGGATAATAAAAGTCACTACATTTAGAAATAACCAGTTGATAGGCCACTGCGGTTTAGGTCCTATATGTGTATATATATACATGGACAAGAAAGCTTATTTGGAGTTGTTTAATATAAATGCTGCTACATAAGTTAAGATAAAACTCTCATAACATATTTATCTCTATTTTTAAATATCTCAATGGCCATTCTAAGTAAGCCTTATATCGCTAAGTGCGTTTTATATTTTAAATACCCGGATCATATAATATTTATTTAAGTCATCAATACTTGCAGAGAGCGACCTAAATAAAGAGATCGATTAGAGCATTTAAGATGGCAAAGAGAGTGGTCTCTCCGAACAACAAAGCTTTTGTGATGGCCATATGCATGGAGCTCTTTTTCCTTTTTTCATATGACTTAGAGTATTCTCAAGTTATTATGAGCTTGGAATTAATATCTGTCGGACTAAAAGCATTAAGATTAGAAACTTCCCAATAATTATAAGTATGCTTTTCGAGATTTGAATACCTTTAATTAATTAGGTCTAACGATACTTATATATATTGAATATCAAATAATTGTATCATTTAAAAAAAATCACTTTCTATAAATAAAATAATATAGCACCACATCTTATAGTATAAATACCCAAACCATATGTCCCTTTAATGCATCAACAACACTTTAAGGGAACTTGTAATAGAGATTTTGGTTCGAGCAGAGAGTCATCATAATGTCTGCTAATAACAGAGTTTATGTGATTGCCATATATTTTGGGATGTTAATTCTTCTTCTCACCGGTTTGTGCACTAACATTCTTCTGGCCTTCATCTATTTTAATTTTATTATATTTTGTTATGTATTTTTCACATTCATTTAATTACTCTAAAAAATAGAGAAGAATTAAGCACTTCAATTCATTATCTTTTGCATGTGGTTCCAATTATTGACTATGTTGTTCATTTGTTTTGATCAGAAATGGCGATTGCTGCTTTGGTTTTGCAAGGTAAGTGTAAGTGCAGAGGGCATATCATATGTATTTATACGAATATATGACTTCACAAAACAAAATAAAAAAATCAAATCTCTGTAAAATCTTGTTAATATAAATAATTTGGTGTTTTTGCAAATTGATAACTTTAGATTCTACTAGGAAAAATTGTAATAATAAAGTCCCAAGAAAATAACATAATTACTATAAAGTTTAAATAACAATGAGCAACTTGTAATGATAAGGGAAATGAAAACTTCTCACTTCCATTGAAACTTTTTATTGTTATTTCTTTCACATGGGATTTTATTGCAATTCTCTCATTCTATTTTGGTATCATGAAAGAAATATAATCCAAAAAAATAAAATAAAATAAAATAAAAGGAGCAATATTGTTTTATTTCACACCCTCACACTACATGTTTTTCTCTTTTACTAATATCTCTCTAGACTTTTTCATTCACAAAACTATTATTTTTATTTACTTTTCGTTATTTTTTTTTTAAAAGGTGGAGAGAATTTCCAAGAGATGGTGAAAGTGAAAGGTGACCTAGCATGCAGTTCTGATTTTGTGAATGCAAATACAACAGGTCCGGTAGGGACACTGCCAAGCGGAACACCAGTGTTCTTCGTCACAATAACAAATATTTGCCCCTCAAATTGCAGAATAAGCAATCTCTATCTCAAGTGTGAGTCATTTACGTCGGAGATTCCTATTTCTCCGAATGTATTCAGGCGTGTAGGTCCCAATGATTGCCTTGTCAACGATGGCCTTCCGATTGGGATTGGAAATGTTGTCACCTTTGAATATGCTCATCCTCATATATTCAATCTTTCTGTTTTATCTCTGCGATGTTTATCCTAAATATTCCACAATCTGTTTTGGTGGATATGTTTTAGATGATAATAACTTTGCTAAGAATTTAAGTGAAATTTAATAAGTGATCAAATGTTATTCTATATTTGTGGCTTTGGATTAAATATTTTTGGTCCAATATTAAATTCATCATCTTCTCACCACCTTACTATTATTACTGTTAGTGCCTCTTTTTTTTTTAATTTTTTTCAATATGTAGTGACTATTGGGTATGAGTGATCACAATAAATTGGCTAAAGTAAAATCACGATCCAATTAAACTGCAACACACATAAGAATTAAAAAATAGAACTAACAAAAATAATTTAATTATGTACACTTTTTCTTATTTTTTTGGGTACTTGGAAAATTGGATCTTGGGGACGCCTTTTTTTCCTCTCTCTCTCTAATGGTAGAGATATGAATATGACAAATTGATGCTTTAACATTTTTTTTAGAAATAAAACAAATTATTAGTGATTCAACGTTTAATTATGAAGAAAGATTCAGAAAGCTGTTGCAACTGAATACATTTTTTAGATAAAAGCAAAATGATATATTTATAATTCCAAGTTTACAATCTACAAGCTACTACTGGAAAAGACAAACAAGAGCCTAAATAAACAAAGGAAGACATTAATCTCAGTCTTTGAAAAGCAAACGGAAGGGGGGTGGGGGGGAAAAGAAAAAGAAAGGAAGACATTAATATCATACGCTTGAGTTTGGTTCTCGACCATTTTCAGTAATGCATAATTAATGAAAATTAATTAATTATAGTCTATACTCTTACTCGTGGTTCATTTCTTTGTACATATCCATATCAATATAATAAAAGTTACCACATTTAGAAATAACCAGTTGCTAAGCAACTGCGGTTTAGGTCATGTACTTGTATATATACGGGGACAAGAAGGCTTATTTGGAATTGCTTAATACTATCTCCGATCTTTAATATAAGAAATCAATTGACTTTTATTTTAATTTTAAATATAAAACTTCAATCCACTTTATCTCTCATATTTATAAAAAAAATTTCAAAATAGTCCTTCTAATGGTTGTGGTTTTATCCAATATATTTGATTAGTAAGGAAATTTTAGGAAAGACAACACTTATTTATTACAAATAACTAATTTAACTTATTTTCTTAGTCTCCTCAAATTAGTCAACTAGTTCTTATAATTAGGAGTGGAGATAGTATAAATACTACTACCTCCAGTCTTTAATATAAGACCTAGTTTGACTTTTATTTTGGTTCTAAATATAAGACCCCAATCTATTTTATCTATCATATTTATGTATTTTTTTCCAAAATAGTTCTTCTAATAATGGTAGTTCTAGCTAATACACTTGATTAGCAAGGATATTTTAGGAAAGACAACACATATTTATTGCAAATAACTAACTTAATTTATTTTTTTAAACTCTTCAAATTAGTCAATTAGGTCTTATAATTAGGACCGAAAATAGTATTACGTAAGTTAAGATAAAATTCTCCTAGCATATTCATCTCTATTTGTAAGCGGCTCAATCGCCATTTCAAATAAGCCTTTAGTCACTGAGTGCGTTTTGTACCGAATCATATAATGTTTATTTAATTCATCAACACTCTCAGAGAGCGACCCAAATGAAGAGATCGATCAGGGCTTTTAAGAAGATAGGGAGAGCGAGGTCTCGGAACAACAAAGTTTTTGTGATGGCTATATACATGGAGGTTTTTTTTTTGCCCTTTTTATATGAGTCAGAATATTCTCAAACTACTTTGGGCTTAAAACTAATATTCGTCGGGCTAGAAGTACTAAGAATAGAGTCTTCCCAATAAGTGTGTTTTTTGATATTTGAACTTATATTTTTCTCTTTACAAAAATAAGACCGTTTACCATCTTACCTTGCTGGTTACATGGAGCTCTTTATTATGCTTACTCTTGTATCCTTTTTGCCAACACTTCCTCTTTTATCTATCCTAAGAAAATCAAAACTGCATTATTCCTTTTTATTGGACCCGTTTGAAACAGTTTATAGTTAGCTTATAAATAGTTTTTTAATAGTAATTTACAGAATACGAGACAAGTATGTGAGAAAAATTTTGTCTTAACTTGCATGAAACATGTTTATAGGGAATTTCTTATGTTTCATGCTGCTTTATTGTCATAAGCCATATCCAACTAGACGGAACATGTTACATGGATTTTTAGAACTTGTTATATTCTATCAACAACCAAATCTTTAAATAAGTTGCTGATCAAACAGTTGCATCCAATAACCTCGTTAAAAATTGGAGGTCACAATGGAGAAATGACAAAGGCAAAAAAATGAAATAGAATGCAGGTTTGATTTTCCTTGGATAGATATGTATACAAGAGGCCCCACGAACATCCAGTCATAACTCCAGCGGATACATTCACAATAACAAATCACTGCCCCACAGATAGCAGGATAGAAAATCAGTGTATGGTATGTACTTTTTCTTGGGGTTTTGGTTCAATCTATGCTTATTATATGTGAAGGATCACAATGAATTGGTTAAGAAGAAAAATGAACTTACAGTTAGACCATAACACAAAAGATTGACAAGGAAACAAACCATCTAGAATGAATACAACAATAGATGAACGTTCTAAATTAACATATGAACAATTCAGATTTAATTTTTTGACAAAATTTTTGTAAAAAGTGTTAAATTGTCTTCAAAAATGTTCAATGTAGAAGAGGAGGATGGGGAATTGAGAGGGAGAAGGGCGAACCTTTAGTTGTAAAGTTGTGTCTTTTCGTTTTAACTTTCACAAAAGCTGTGCCTTTTCTTTCGCACTGGTCAAGCAAAGTCAATAGATGAGCGCAACCTTTGATCGGAGAAACAAAGATGAATACAACAACGCTTTCACCAGCAAGTCTGTGGACACCCACAACTGAAAATCAATCAAACAAAGCATTGAAGCCAATTCAAGTCCTTCGATTCAATAATAAGCATCACCACGGTAGCCATAGGTTTCCTTTTCTTTGTTTCTCTGTAAATCCTTCCCAAAATCAAACCACGCCAGCCCCCTCCGCCCCCACAATCCCTCCACTTGTGGTGGTCGGATCCGCCAATGCCGACATATACGTCGAGATCGAGAGGTTGCCGAAAGAGGGTGAGACCATTACGGCCAAGACCGGTCAAACCCTCGCCGGAGGAAAGGGAGCTAACCAGGCGGCATGTGGTAGGAAATTGTCGTACCCAACGTATTTTGTGGGTCAGGTGGGTGGGGATGCACATGGGACGTTGATCTCTGAGGCTTTGGGCAATGGTGGGGTTCGGCTCGATCATTTGACCACTGTTGGGTGTGCACCAACCGGGCACGCTGTGGTGATGCTCCAACCAGATGGCCAGAACTCTATAATTGTCGTTGGTGGTGCCAACACGAGTGGGTGGCCTGAAACTCTAGCTGATGAAAATTTGGAGATTGTAAGAAATGCGGGGATTGTTTTACTTCAGAGGGAGATCCCAGATTCTGTTAACATTCAAGTGGCAAAGGTGGGAATTTTTGCGTTTATATTCTTCATTAATCCTCTCAATATAATTTTCGTTACTTACAAGTATTCCAGTAGTCATGTTAGTATGTACTTGCGTTATCTTCTCTCTTTAGACATTAACTTCTGTCCATGGTGAATAATGAGCTAATGTAAGCGATGCTTTATTCAACCTCACTTTACAAATATTAATAGTTCTCGGAGGTACCATAGGCTATAATAATTTTGGACAAAGTGAGTTTAATGGGAGACTCGAACTCTGTCTTTTGGTTTTGCTGAACTAGTGTTAACGATCAGCATCATTACATTGTGCCAGCTTTTTGTTGCATCTGGACTAACATTCGAAGAGAATTGTACCACTGTCTGCCATAACTTTCAAAAGATTCATGTCCTCCTGTTGCTTCCAGTCTTCTTCATCCTATTACTCCTCCTCCTTATCACCATCATTTTCTTCTTTAATGTCTTCCTTTTCGCTTCTCCTTCTTCCTGGGAATAGGGGAGGTTCAATTACATTCTTCTGATATATCCATACATAGTAAATTGATGGCCACTATAATTGGATAGAATTCATAGAGCTGGTAATGGGTCTGGCTTTTTTAGCGTGTAAAATTAGAGTGGGTTAGCAGCCCATTTTGAAAAGGCCAGTTTGCACCCGCCAGATTCTTTTCTAAAACATTCCTTCCTCACTCTAATTTTTTTTTTCCATTGTCACCCTTCTTCCCTCCTCATTCATTGTAAAATGTGAATTCTCATTGTGAATTTTGTGGAGAATTGGAGATGATATTTTGGATTGTGAATTGAATTAAAATTTTGTGAATTGCGAATTGTGAAAAGCTAATAGTGTTAATTTATTTTTGTGACTTGTGCAATATGCATTGTGCTTGTGGATAGAAGAATTTTAATTTGCTTGGGGGAAAAAATACTGTCCTTTTTTTTCTTCTTCAAAACAAAACGTGAGCAGGCTGTTTAGTGCACTAGCCCATCCTTGGTGGGCTAGGCCGAGAAATTTCCAGCCCACCAAAAGCAGGCTTTCCCAGGTCAGCCCAATATATTTTTACCTGTGGTTCTCTGGCCAGGCTAGCCCATTTCCCTACAAGCTCACCCTTGGAACTGGATAATTAATTCTTTTGTGAGTTGTGACAACTTTAACAGTCCGCATGATCTGATATGACTAAATCTAGTTAATTGGCAGGAAGGCTGCAAGGGTGGTTGGTTACATTCATAACATTGTGGTTTATATAAACTTCATTATTTGTGGCTGTTTTTGGCTCTAACATCCTTTAGTAGCGAATATCTATCATCATCTGCCCCTTCCCTGTGTTTGTCATAATCCTTCTTTCTTTTGCCTTATGTATTCTTCACATCCTTTGTTGTGCTTTTAAAATTACAGGCTGCGAAGGCCGCTGGTGTTCCAGTAATAATGGATGTTGGTGGTGCAGATGCTCCAATGCCTCAAGAATTACTGAGTTCTGTTGAGATTTTAAGTCCAAATGAAAGTGAACTTGGTCGCTTAACAGGATTGCCAACCAATAGTTTTGATGAAATTACTCAGGCTGCATTAAAAGTCCATAAAATGGTTAGTTGTATATCACCCTGTGTTATTTTCATTCATGATCGGGAAAAACATTTGTTGTTGTTTAAGGTCCTGTATTTTGACTTGCTTGAAGGAAGATTTTCACAATAAACCCTCTTAAAACAAACATATGAGGTAAAAAAACAGTTTGTAGTTGTAGCGTGGTATAAATGTGAAATAGGTAGAAGGATTTACAGAACTGAATCCCAGAGCCCACCACTGATTCCTTTTTAAAATCAGAAATGAATGTCCCTCAATATGAAAGTGAGGTGAGGGCGAAAGGAAGGATATACTTGAGAGTTGAATATTTTATGTGCTTGCATGGGCAGTATAGATTCTGATGTCAGCATCTATCAAGACTACTGACTAATCTCTGCCGAAGAGGTTAATTTCCAAAGGAAATCCCCTTAATAACATAACAACTAGAACAATGTTCTTAGTATCCATTATACCAAGACTTGAATCCTCATCTTTTTTGGTGTTACAAGATGCTTTTGAAGCGGCCAAATGACCTCTATATTCTGCCAAAACTTTAACTACTGGTGGCATACTGTTCTTTGTCTTTTAAATTACTTTGTGAGAATCTGAAAGAGATCTGTACCATAAGATCTGAAAAAGAAGAAGCAGATCCTCTAAAGGGATACCTAGATAAATAAGTGTTCATTGCCGAACCGCACACAATGGCTGAACTGCCCGCAATAGCATAGGTCCTTGTCAAATCCTTTCTGGAGTATGATACTGTAAGTTTAATGGTTGACAGTCTCAGTTTATTGATGGCCATGATGTCATCTCAAGAACAGAGTTCAAGGACTTCACGTCAAGTGAAGATCATTTGATAATATAAAAGTAATGCTAAATATTTGTATTTTGTGTATTGTTATATTATTACGTAGATCTTTTTAAAGTGGAAATATCTAATTTTATGATGCTTTTTGCCTTCAACTTTTGCTTCAATTTGTATTTAATAGATCACATATGCGCCATTGGAAAAGTAGAAAAACAACTTAAAAATAATTAACACAGCACTGAATTTCTTCCTTTTTTATTCTTTTTTCCTGTTTTTATATACTCAAGTGCACTAAGGAGTATAATTTTGGCAGTGCCAATACTACTGTGCAGTGTTGAGGTTGATTTGAGGGGATTAATACTCAACAATGTCCTTGTGCCATGCACTAGCAAAGCAATACTCAGTAATTCGTTGAGATCATGCATCTGATTTGATTAAGTTACTTTTTTCTCCAAATTTTGAATTTCCAGGGAGTTAAGCAAGTGCTTGTCAAACTTGGGGCCAAAGGGTCTGCCCTTTTTGTAGAAGGCGAAGAACCAATTATACAACCTGCTATTTTGGTTGAAACAGTCCTTGATGCTACTGGAGCTGGTGATACTTTTACTGCTGCTTTTGCCGTGGCCTTAGTGGAAGGCAAGTCCAGAAAAGAGTGCTTAAGATTTGCTGGTATGTATAATAGCAAGCATTTCCCCTGTTATAGATGGAAATGTGCTTATCAGTTGATATGTCCTTATCCTTAATGTTCTTGTCTTTTTTGTTTCCGTCAAAACAGCTGCAGCAGCTTCTCTTTGTATTCAAGTGAAGGGAGCTATTCCCGGCATGCCTGATAGGAAATCTGTTCTGGATCTCCTTCAATCCCTTTGAGGATGCTAGCAAGTGGTCAGAGGTCAATTTTGTATCAATATTTTCATTTTTAATTTCTTTTCTTCTTCTTGTTCTTGTGTAGTGATTGGCTCTTGGAAATAATATGTCGTCTATGTTATCTGAATTTTCTTCCTAATAATAATAATAAATTGCCTGATTTTCTGTGTTGTTGACAGTGCAATGCATTTTTTAACCAGAATTTTCTGTGAAATGGACAGAATAATCATCTTTATTTCATAACCGGGTGCGGTTTCATTTCTCCTAAAGCTAGATTATTATTTTATTTTCCAATAATCATCGTCTTTAACTTTTATTGAACTTGAAACATTACTTGTGTAGAATGAAATACAAGGAATTAAGAACAAGAATTAACAAGTTTATTTTAATTCAACCTCAGTAATAAATGGTGAAATATCAAGATAGATCCCATGCCTTTATATAAGCATCACAATCAACACCGTGCATCTGCTAGATCAGGACAAGTAACTCAAGGTGCAAGTAATTCTGATTCATACAGGAACCAAAATATGAATGGTAGCACGGCAGAGATTTTCCAAGACTCAAACAACTATTGTTAAACCCAATTTACTGATAAGAAGTAAACCTTGAATCCCAAATTACTCATCATCAACATGATGGTACCAGCTAACCAACATTTGAACCCTATATATCATAGTCCAGTTACCACTGTCTCACCATGGAGATTAACCTTGCGAGTAAATCCAAAATTACTGATACGTCTTGAAAATTACCCCAATGACATTATTATTATACTTTAATTCCGCATCCATTCCCATAAAAGGAGAAATACTATATGCATCATATAACGTGTATTGGTTAGTGTGTCCCACATCTGCCAGTGCGGGAGGAATTCCATCAATGAAAGTAGTGAAGATGTAAAAGTGAAATAACTGAATTCTCAAAAATCGCACCACGATATGCTGAAATGCATGACTCTATATTTTGTGATTTTGTCACAAGAAGGCATATATTGAGTAAACAAACCTTATGCTTTGATGGCTTTCTCAGCCCTTGTTGAGCCGATGATACTTGCTGAATGAGGAAATCACGCCCTTAATAATTATGGAGGTTCTCCTGCCAATGTGACCGTGGTTTTTCTTTTCTTTCTCTCTCTTTTTCCCATTTATGCAAGAATCAAATCTATGACAGGAACCTATATTTCCTTTTGGAAATAGCAATAGAAACTAGAAAATAGGTACAACAGGGGGAGCTAAGATGAGCTCAAATGCCTCTGCAGTGTCATTTTGCCGCTGGAAAACACAGAAAGCAATAGTCCAGGCTAGTACGCACAAGTATTTATAAAACAAGCTGGTTACTTTTAGGGGTGATATATGTGGCATACGTGTATGTATGTGTATGCGTATGATTATGATATGCTTCTTAGAGTGTGTTCAGTTTCATGTTGGAAACTACTAAAATCATGGTTTTGCTACTACTCGCTTCCACTAAAAAACATGATTTTGGTGGTTTATAACATGCAACTAAACATGCATTTCATGATTGTTTTCCTAACTCCCCCATCCCATAAACTCAAATATTTGTAATGCTGTCATATAACATCTCCATCCTCCTCTTAGCTATATTTTCTTCCATAATTATTGTTGTTAGCAATGTTCCATGATTGGGGTGGTCTCAACTACCTCACTGCCAGGAAACCTTCCTTTCTGGTAATATTCTTCTTTGCTTCAAGTCTCCCTGCCCATTGCATGTGAAAAAATTTTGCCGTTGCTCACTTGTTTTTCAATGACATCCACACATTTTCTTTGTACATTCCGCAGCCAAAGTTCTGCCCCTTGCTTCATTTCCTCTCCTGAACGAAACTCTAATCTTCATTCAGAGATCGCGTGAATGAACCAGTGGCAAAGGAAGATTATTGTTGTAAAGACCGAGAGAAAATGGATTGCTTGATGATTCTGTTCATGGTGAATGCTTTTATTGATATTTACGAGGATCCACTAGGATTAATTACAACATGATTCCTTCACAGATAATTCTCTAAGTCTTGTTAATCTAATCCCAATGATTCCATAGATTGGCATTTACATTGAAACTCATTTTTATCCTCATTTTTCAGACATAAAAATATTCCAGCAAGCAAATGACCCTAGTTTTCTTCCTTTCTCGAAATCTTTCTGGAAAGTGAGAGCTCCTTAAAGGTCAAAAAAGGCTATGAGGATAATGATTATGGTTTAGGTTCTATGGAGTTTAAAGCTTTTTGAGGGATACTATAAACCTTGATATATAGTGACAAAAGAGTCACTTTCTCATTGGTGTTTGAAAGTCATAGTGTGCAGCATCAGAAACTGTAATTCATAATTTCATACGCCAAGGGACATATAGATTACAGAACAGGGAGCAAAAGTACGTACCATCCCTATTTAAGTAGCAATCATGAATTGTTAGAACTATGAGAATTATTTACATAAAAAACATAAAAAATTAAAAATTATTCTGTGATTTTTTCAAACATTTTGAGCAGGCCTGCAAATATGAATTTGCAAAAGGGGTGTTTGGAACATCCATAATTATTTTTAGAAATATTTTTTGTAAATCGAAACAAATTTTTCCACATATTACTTGTATATCGTAAAAGCATTTCTGAAACCTAATTTTGTTTTTACCCAAATACCCCTAAATAATACCCTCAGATATCTGAATAGAGAAAAGAGAAGAGCAAATAACGAAATGCTGCTCCAACTAAGAAGGACTCGACTTATAAGGATGTAGGCTCAAGTCTCACTGCTTAAATGAGACTTTATTGGTGAATGATACATTTGTACATTATGCTCTTTGGGTTGCAAAATTTGCATAAATTTATTAGGTTTTCAGGACTCAATTCATCTAATTTTTTTCTTTAAAAAAATCATCAAGGCTAAAAGTGGAGGAAGAAATGTCTCTTATTTGGCTGCTATGTAGAAGTAAAAAAGTGAGAGGGGGGGGGGGGAGAAAAGGACGTGAGAGAAAGGCAAAATAATTTGATGCTCCATTAGAAAACTATTTTTAGGGAAGATGAACAGGTCAGGATGGGAAGTTTTTATCTAGAATCTATGTCCTACTCCTAGGACACTGACCCCATTTGGCATTTATGCTTTGCAGCTAAGAACATAAAAGTAAACTTCAATAGTACTAAATATGGATCATCACCAGCTTTCACTCTATCATATCCATGACATTTGCCCGACTATTGTCCAGTGTATGAAAGCAGGCTCCTTTTCAGAGGGAACATTTTTTTTATTTCAAAGTAAATATTTTAGTTTCAAGACAAAATTCTCAGTAATTGATAATGAAGATTCACGATTTTATTAATGGAGGCAACTATATGGACAAAACATGTTTATTTTTCCGGACAAAAGATCATACAATTTTTTTCAACTCAAAATATCATTAAATCATTTTGGACTTACAACTAATCTTTGTCAAAACAAAAACACTAATGATAAAATCCTTTTAACAAGAACACTTTCTTTTGAATAAAATTTTATATTTGAGTATTGTATAGAAAAAAAATTATTGTTGAGAATACTTTACACTCATATGTTGAATCTAATTCAATCCGAATTATTCAACATGGGTTCTGATAATTAGTTAATGTTACGAGAGAAAAAATATATGAATTTAAAAATTGAATAAATTGTCACTACAATAAGATAAACAATTATTGGTAAATGTTTAATTGTTTACCATAAAAGATTGCTAATGGAACAAACTGAAGATTTTTTTTTGATTAATTCAATTTTACTAATGGAGATTAGTCTTGTTAACAAAACAAGTTTATTTTTTCCCACAAAAGAGTCAGCAAGCTAGGAATTAGATAAATTGGTTTTCACCAAAAGCAAGAAAACAGAATTAGATGAATTGGTTTTGTTCAACCAAAAACAAAAAGATAGATGGGTTTCTCTTCATAGGGCAATACTTACAGTAACTGATAAATGTCCACCACTAAACGACAATCATTGGCAAATCAAATGGAAGATTTCTGGTCCATGTCACTTGATTCTACCGATGGGGCCAATTTCTATTGACAAAACACGTCCTTTTTGACGCATAGAAAAACTAGATAATTAATTAGATAAATTATTTTATAATTAAAGTAGGATTCACTTTAATAAGTGAATAACAATCATTCAAATGTCACCGACATGAATTAAACTAAAAGACAGTTTAATCTGTACAATTTAATTCTCCTATTGACCCAATTCTTGCGGACAAAACATGTGAGCGTGCGTGCTTTAGGGCCTGTCTGGCAAAATTTGCCAAACAGAGGAGAAAATCAGCAAATCACAGTTTTAGACTCAAAACCATAGTTTCAGAAAAAATGAATCCATTTGCTCGTAACTCAAATTGAAAATATGATTGTGCCTATCAAAGTAATCAAACGGTAATATGACTTTAACACCTTCAATTATTTTTCTATAAATATATTTAATCTTATATTTTATAAATGTATAGACACATATTAATTATTTATTAATTACATTATCTTATATATTATTAATTATGTTGGTAAAAAATATATTATTAACAATTTTATTCCTTCAAATTAAAATATATTATAAAATGTATCTTTTATATAATTATCATATTAACTTATGCTCTTTTTAGTAATTTGCATATATAAAAATATCTGATAATAACTATCTAAACATTCTTACTTTATCAGAATCATTTTTTATAAAACCTATTTTTCACAAAATCTATTATCCAAAAATTATTCTCCAAACCATGGTTTTATCTAAACATCCTCTTGTTTTATTTTCAATCCATATATTTTCAATCCATATATGATATATGAAATTTAAAAGCAGCAAAACTCAACAATAAGCATTAGTTCCGGCGGGAAGATTTTGTTTCCTCAATCATCGGATTTCAAGTCCAATTCTGTATAAATGCACAAGATATCTTGAAAGAGTTGTTTCCAGTTAGACACGACCATATTTAAATCTGACCCAGTTAATTTTACTTGCCTAATTATCGCAGGTGAAACATATTTCTTGAAATTGATGACCATAGAAGAAATAAAACAAAAAAACAAAAATAGTAAGTTCCACTTCCGACCATATGGATCTTACCGAAGAAGAATTGGAATAGCAATGTATTTCATGGATTAAAAATTTATATATGTTTTGCTCTGATGAGGTAGAGAAAAG